GTTGGACCTTGGCGGCGTTTTGACAGTTCTTGTCGGTTTCTTAGGTGGCGATGAGCAGGAGAAAAACGTTCTTTCAATGCGTCTCTCAACAAGGTGTACGAAGCTTGTACTGAACTAGGAAGATTATAATAAAATCTTTCTGTTGGCCCAGAAAGGTAAAGAGCCAGTTTAACAGCTGCCTGGTCACTTGAGGGTGATATTTTTCCGTTGGCAAGATGTAAGGAGAAACGCTGAAGCCAACGATCAACATTTTCACTTTCGCGTCCATGGTATAACGTAGGCTTGACAACAATAGATTCTGTTACATGTGGGGCGGATAAAGAAACTTGTGCGGCTTCAAGTTGTTGGCACATTTGGCGCTGTAAATTGACAATGTGTTGCTAGGCGATCGCACCTCTTATTCCAATTTTTTTTCCATTAGCTACTAGAATGGAGTTTATTTATGAACCAAAAGAGTTAGGGTTTACTTTAGAACCACCTGTTGTCTTCTATAGAATTTTTATACCCTGCGCAATACTTTCTACAGAGTCAAGAAAACAAAGATTGACATTTTTGCTTGACAGGCAGTTTTTCGCTTCGCTGCGCTTCGACCTCATCTTCATGATTTGCCAGAAAAAAATGAGAACGATTTCGCATTTCGCATGTAATGAGATAAGATTTTTCAGTTGGTATAATCTGCAAAGATAGCACGTTCAAAATTTGCCAGTCAGAAGACTATAGCAAATAGCTGATTATATCAAAAATCACTTTTCTATTTATAGATTATGATCTCAACATTTTTTGGTGACGTCAACCCCTTGGGTATTCTGACGTCACTTGCTCCTTGCCAGCTAAAAATAAACTATGACATGATGCTATCTTAATGGAATGCATGACGTCATCGTCATTAATTTAAACTATGACATCATCCTATCTTAATGAGATGCATGACGTCGTGATCTGCGTTAATTTATACCACTCAAAAAGTTAATTAAATCCACAAAGAAAAGGTTAATTCGGTGCCTTCCCCACTACTGTCTGGAGTCCGACCCGATGCATTCGGTAAAGATGACTGTAAGAAGATCGATTTCATTTTCTTCCTCTCCCTTCTTCCAATCTATAGTCCGTCTCGATCCCCTCCTCCACTTTTCCCCTAGACGTACAAATGCACCGCCCTTAGTCCTTGAGTTTTTCCTACCCCTGACGCAAAGAGACCAAGCGTTGCACCCAAGAGCTCTCCTGGTTGCACCTTAATGATCTTACGCGCGCGTGGTGGCTATGCTCCAAATATAGTCATTCCACTCAGCGAACACTTTCAACGAAACGGAAGTGGTTTTATGGTATAATGGTTCATAAAAAGGTTAAATCAAATTGCGCAAGTAAACATTATTTTGATAGTGCCTCTCTTTTTATTTTTTTTCTTTAGTGACAAATCTCGTTTGTTTATGACCGAAGACTGTAGTTCGTACAATACACTGTTAACCGCGGGTGTTAAGACAAAACAACTGCATTATATATATTACAAGCACGACAACAGAGAGAAATTTAACCAGAAAGATATAATTATTCAGTTCACGGTTCCTTGTTTCACTGCACTCTGCACCCTAAAAAGTAATTTGCATCTGTAAGAGCTGTGGTTTTCACGGTGTCGTGCTTCATATAAAAGGCTTCTAGATGATTGACACTTCACTGCAAAGGCGCGTGAGGGGCTCTAATACAATATTGCTCTGTGATTGGTTCGAAGGGCCTTTGATTCCGAGAAAAGTTAAAGATAGAAACGACGCAAGACTTGATTGTTGGGTGTAGACATTAAACTCCAGAGGTCATTTCTCTGTTATTGTGAAGAAGACATGGATCTCACAACTCTATTTCACAATCTTCACAAAGAAGTGTCTTGCTTGGTGTGTTCGGACTTGTTCACAGATCCTAAACAACTCTTCTGCCTGCACAGTTTTTGCTTGAAATGTGTAAAACAGTGGTACAAGACGTGCGGAGGCGGAGACTCCGTTAAATGCCCGAAATGCCGAACGCCTAGCAGAATACCAGCAAGCGGTGATCTTAAAGATCTTCCAACAAGCTTTTATTTGAATGGCCTTATCGATGTTCTTGCCATCAAAGAATGCAGGAACGCTCAACTAACATGTGGAAACTGTGGAGAGAAGAGCTCGGAAGCGTCATATTGTTTCCAGTGTTGCATATTCTATTGCCAAGAATGCTTAATATTTCATAGTAAAATGAGAGACAAAAAGGGCCATCGTGTATTGGCAGTAAGAGAATTCCAAGATCAGGACTACGCAGAAGTATTGAAGCGACCAGTATTTTGTTCAAGATACGGACATCAAAAAGAAGAGCTCAAATACTACTGCAAAGAATGCGAAACGGCTCTTTGTCAAACTTGCGCCATTTTGGATCACGTAGGTCATATTTTGAAATTGATCGAAGAAGAAGCCGAAACCAAAAGACTCGAGACCAAATCTGCAATCGAAAGGCAAAGACAAAATTTAGAAGCGAAAATGAACATATTGACTCAAGTGGATGAAGACTATGCTAAAGTGATTCAGCAAAGCGAAGTCGTAAAAACAGATGTTCAAAGGTTTGCCGATAACTTGATCAAAACAATTCAAGCAAAAATGCAAAATATAATCACTACAGTGGAAGGCCAAACAAAGAAGTCCATTGAAAGTTTGACAGAAAAAAGGAAAGAGATTCAGCAACAAATTGATGTTATTAAATCATCGCTAGAAGAAGCTGATAAACTCTTTCAGAGAAGTACCAACGCTGAAGTTGTTCAGCTTAAAAAAACACTGCAAACAATTTTTGACGGGGTAGATCAGGCTAAGGTTGTTGCTCATGACCCTGAAACTCAGGAAGCTTTAGTGTTCATTAACAATCAGAAAATGCTTGATTTTGTCAATGGCGAAGAAATTGGATCCTTGGAAAAACCTTATCGGACAAAAGCAAGTGAATCTCTAGCTGAAGGCGAAAGAGTGAAAGAAGGCAAAGGAGTGAAGGAAGGGAAGGTTCTTCTCTGGTCTGTTTGCTGGATCTCACCAGGTGACGCGTGAAATTTCTAGCTCGCGCGTAGAAGGCCATTTACCTACGACGCCATACATTTATCATAATTCATTTCACTTTTGCATTTCTTATTTAAATTTACTAATCAAACGGAGGTTTTTGCATCAATTAATCCAAATTGAAGAAGAAAACAAGACTGAAAGATTTCGGTAGTTATAATTCGTAACAAATGACGTCACGGTGTACTTCCGTAAATAGTCGCTTCGTCTAAATTTAGATTTTCAAAAGTTTTGCTGACCTGCAAATTCGGAAAATGTCTGCTTTTGTTCTAGGGGAAACCCAGGCAATTAGACAGTTCTGCTACGTGCCAAGAAGGCCACTAGCTGAGCTTTCAATTCTATTCATATAGCGAAACTACGTACTTAAAAGCCGCCTTGCTGACTTGGCAACTTTGTTAGTTTATCAGTGTCCTAGTACTTTTGACACCTAAAATAGAATCCGCAACAATTATTTTCGCTTAACTTCAAACGAGCTTGTTTGTATATCTATTGTACTGTTTTGTGTTGAATGCCCGTAGTAATGATATATACGTAAGTTAGTTTATAGAGTTTTTAGATTACAACGATTATTTCGATTACATGTACAAGAATAAACGCTGTTGGAACCAAGTCAAGTTTGCCTTATTCTCTGTTGCGTTCCAGTTAGTGGGTTGATCCCGGTCCTAAGAGTTGTGACGGCTCTTACCCGCGAGCGAGTTGTCATTTGAGTTTAGTTTCCCCAGTTTAGAAGACGGTTTCCAGAGTTCAATCCCCGAGTTCCCGTTTAGCCCTTAAAGTCGTTCGAAAGTGGAAAAACTTTTCGTCAAAATATGGCTGTCGGCAAGCGTAAGGTACTGGTCATACCGCAGAGTTTGGTTGAGTGTGCTTCCTTGCAGTTTTTTTTCATCCTATTGTTTGTAAGAGCCAAATAATACCAAAATCCTCTTAACCCACAAGGAGGAACTGGAGATGAATCAGTGAATAGTGCAGGATAGTCACTGATTGAGTAGCCAATCAGAGCGCGCGAAAAACACTATCCACTGTTTTAGTATATACTAAAAAAGGCTAAACGACGTTATACTGTATTGAATAGTTAAAACCACGAAAGCTCTTATTTAGTTGTCTGTTTAGCATGGCCTCCTTTGTTGGGGATCAAATGAAGCCGCAGCCCGTCGTGAGAGGTTTAATCCTAGTGTCCCTGTTTTTTTCTCAAGCCTGTGGAGTCCGACCCGTCGCATTGCGTAAAGTTGACCGTAAGAAAATCGATTACATCTTCTTCCTCTCCCTTCTTCCACTGTATTATAGTCCGCCTCGATCCGCCCGGCCTCCACATTTCCCCCGAGACGTATAAATGCCCCGTTCTCAGTAATTCAGTTTTTCCTGCGCCTGACGTAAAAGAGGCCAAGCGTTGCACCCAGAAGCTGTCCTGGTTGTGCACGCGTAGTGTCCATGCTCCAAGCTCCAAATACAGTCATTCCACTCAGTAAACACTTTTTAAGCGTAACGTAACGTAATTTAAATGTACCTCTATTTTTATTTTTTGTTCTTAGGTGACAAATCTCGTTTGTTACCGAAGACTGTGGTTCGAACAATCCATTGTTAACTCCGGGTAACTGCATTATATTACAAGCAAAACAACAGAGAGAAACTTAACCAGACAGATATAATTATTCAGTTCACGGTGGCTTGTTTCACTGCACTCTGCACCCTGAAAAGTAATTTGCAACTTTAAGAGCTGTGGTTTTCACGGTATCGTGCTCCATATATAAGGCCTTTGTTTCTAGATGATTGACACTTCACTACAAAGGCGCGTCAGGGGCTCTAATCCAATATTGCTCTGTGATTGGTTCGAAGGGTCTTTGATTCCGAGAAAAGTTAAAGACATAAACGTCACAAGACTTGATTGTTGGGTGTAGACTAGACTCCCGAACACAAAAGTTCATTTGACGCTGTTATTTTGAAAAAGACATGGATCTCAAAACTCTATTTCACAATCTTCGCGAAGACGTATCTTGCTCTGTGTGTTCGGACTTGTTCACAGATCCTAAACAACTCTCCTGTCTGCACAGTTTTTGCTTAAAATGTGTAAATCAGTGGTACCAGACGTGCGGCGGCGGAGACGCCATTAAATGCCCGAAATGCCAAACGCTAAGCAGAATACCAGCAAGCGGTGATCTTAAAGATCTTCCAACAAGTTTTTATTTGAACGGCTTTATCGATGTTCTTGCCATCAAAGAAGGCAAGAACACTCAACTAACATGCGGAAACTGTGACAAGAAGAGCTCGGAAGCGTCGTATTGTTTCCAGTGTTGCATATTTCATTGCGAAGAATACTTAATGTTTCATAGTAAAATGCGAGACAAAACGGGACACCGTGCTTTGGCAGTAAGAGAATTCCAAGATAAGGACTTCGAGGATGTATTGAAGCGACCTGTATTTTGTTCAAGACAAGGATATCAGAAAGAAGAGCTTAAATACTACTGCAAAGAATGCGAAACAGTTCTTTGCCAAACTTGCGTCACTTTGAATCATGGAGGTCATGGTTTGAAATTGATCGAAGAAGAAGCCGTAACCAAAAGACTTGAGATCAAATCTGTAATCGAAACGCAGAGACAAAATTTAGAAGCGAAAATGAACATAGTAAGTCAACTGGATGAAGACTTTGCTAAAGTTTTTCAACAAAGCGAAGTGTTAAAAACAGATGTTCAAAAGTCTGCTGATAACTTGATCAAAACAATTCAAGCGAAACTGCAAAATATAATCACTACAGTGGAAGGCTAAACTGAGACGTCCATTGAAAGTTTGACAGCAGAAAGGAACGAGATTCAGCAACAAATTAATGTTATTGAATCATCACTGCAAAAACCTGATAAACTCTTTCCGAGAAGTACCAATGTTGAAGTTGTTCAGCTTAAAAAAACACTGCAAGCAATTTTTGAAGGGGTCGATCAGGGAGAGGTTATTGCTCATGACACTGGGAATCCGGAAGCTTTAGTTTTCATTAAAAATCAAAAATTGCTTGATGTTGTAAAGGAAGAAGAAATTGAGTCCTTAGAAAAACCCTATCGGACAAAATCAAGCGAATCTGTGGCTGAAGGCGAAGGACTGATTGAAGGAATTGTTGCGCGCAAAGTTCAATTCAATTTGACCACAAGAAACGCAGAGAGAAAGCAGTAGTATGATCAGAGGGACCGTGTCACGGTAGAGATTAAGGACGAGCAAGGACAAGAATGCGTGACGGAAGTGAAAGTAGAGGACATGAAAGGTGGAACCTACAATGTTAGTTTTTATCCCAGGGTTCAAGGAACATTCAAATTGTACGTTAAAGTAAACGAGGAACATATTCGTGGAGGCCCTAAGCTTTTACAATGAGCGTAAAACCATTTCATGTAAAACCTGTTCTATGTTTTGGAGAGAAAGGCTCGGGTGATGGAATGTTTCAGTATTCTCGAGGTGTGGCAGTGACTGACAGAGACGAAATAATAGTAGCTGACGAGGGCAACCATCGGGTTCAAGTGTTTGACAGTAATGGTACTTTCTTAAGATCCTTTGGTCACCGAGGTAAAAATGCTGGAGAGTTCCACTACCCTGATGGACTAGCCATTGATAGGGATGGAAACATTTTCGTAACCGACCGTGAAAACTACAGAGTACAAATCTTTAGCTGAGAGGAGACGTATCTGGGTTCATTTGGCGGCTATGGAAGCCTTGATAATCAGCTGTCTAATCCTCGGGGTTTATCCTTAGATAGTAATGGTAATATTATTGTTGCCGATGAAGGTAACAAACTGATTAAGATCTTTACCCCCGATGGTAGGTTAGTAATGAAGATAGGTGGACAGGGTTCACGGAAAATTCATCGGGAAGTTTGGAACAAATGACAGCAAGTTAGGAGAATTCGATAGACTCTTGTCAGTGGCAATGCTTAGTAATGGCCGAATTGTTGTGTCTGATGGATATAATCATCGAATTCAAACATTTGAATGACTATACTTCCTCAAAATATTGGCATAAACATGTTATTCTCCAAATGTCAATCTAAATATAATTTTGCTTGGCCTTAGGAGGGAACACTAGAGAGACACTGACAGCAAGTACTAAAAGACTATGTTGACTTAAGTTTGTAACCTCTTTTTGCTGTTTTTTTTGTGATCGAGACTTTGCGATGATCAAGGCAACCAGCTATGACAATGTAAATAAAAATATTAAGACTAGACGCAATTATGCGCCTAGTTCTACCTTAATTTTAACAAAATATTATAACATGGATAAATTTTGAAAACGTACAAAGTGTATTTTGAGAAACAAGTGTGCTAAATTAGATTTAACATTGCTGTTCAAATAACTTTTATCCAGTGTATTTTTTTTGAGAGCCTCACCAGGGCCGCATGTTGAATAAAGCAGATAATTACGAAAAAGCGGTTTGCTCGAGCAACTGATAAAACTCTGAGGGTCCAAGTCAGTACTGGATCAGTCATGTCAAGCAATTTATCGAACTAAATTGCTGTTTTTTATTATTGAAAAAAAAAACCAAAAAAAACCCCCAGCAATTTAGTTCGATAATAATAATAAAAAAAAATTTAAAAAAAACAAAAAAAAAACTAAATTGCTGTTTTGCTTTTTTACCCCAAAACATACGTGATTCTTACTTTCCAGGACAGTTAAGTTTTGTGTAAAACAATTCACACATTCAATCCTCCATTTTTCCTCATCTTTTCCCCATCCCACGTACGATTTAGAACAGTTGGGTTTTGAGGACAGGGACCCGGGGATTTAAAAACTTCTCGGAGCAAAGGCAAGAACCAACAACAAACTCAACGCTCGTATAGTGTCACTTCCGGCGGAATTCAAACCCGGGGCACATTGATAGGTGCTGCGCCACACATCAGTTTTCACCAATGCTTTCCAATTGAAAAGAAGAAGAATTTCCCTTTTACCTGCGATTTATTTTATCTGTTATTGAGTCAATATTTTCTTTTCTCCACATGTTCTCCTTGCAAACAAACGAATAAGAATTTGCGCATGTGCGTAATTTTTTCTGCCTCTTGTCATGCGCGGTTCGCAATAGTACCTGGGACGGATCAGCACACCAACTAGAACATTAAAACAGCTCACTGAATTTTATTTACAATTTTAAGATAGGATATAGGATAGGAGTAACAGCTGCGGCGATAAGATTTGCTTGAAACTCTTAATTGCTAACCGTTTATCTGGGGATGTGTTTTAGCGCCACTGAAAAGTATCAAACAACAAGGCGTTCTTAAGTGTTCTAAATGATGATAACGTCGGATCACACTACATTGTACCAGAGAGGGAAAGGGAAGTGCAGCCACCCACACCCTTTTACTCACCCCCAACCCACCCCACTCTGTATCTCCTCCGGTCATTGTCATTTCACATGACGTAGCAATCCAGGGACCATTTACAAAAATTGTAACTTCAGACGTTACTACTAATGTCTGGCGTTACAAAGAGTTTGACTGAATGGACTGAACATCAGACGTGAACATTTGTGGCCGAAGTTAAAGATTTGCGCAACTAGGCCCTGTTATAAAAGACATATTTTCTGTTGAATGGCATGTTCACGTGAGCAGGAAAGACATTACAAGAACTTTTCTTTCTGCGAAAGTGTTCTTTTGAATAAAACACGTTCACCGTCTTTTCTTGGGCTTTCTCTTGTCTTTCCTCTTGTGCGATTCCTTCTTTTTACGCCTAAAAATGAAACGTGTTTTGTGTTAATGAGTTATGACTTTTGCCACGAAAAATACAAACGGAATTAACGAGTTACAAACTGTCAAATTATACTAAATAACACAATTCATTGCATTGTAATATTTATAACTACGATAAGAATCGCTGAAGTAAACTGAGTTTATCTTCAAACTAACATTGACAAACACTGGATACAGACTTAGGGCCAGGGGTTAAACAGTGAGTGCAGATGCTAGCTAACTTTAAAAGCGTCTTATAACTCCTACTTCAAAATTAGCGAAATAACACAAAAAATAGGGATAACACCCAGTTTTGCATTTGAGAGCGAGTTTTAGATCAGAAAATAAGAAGGACAAAGAGGTACTGACCTCTTCTTCTGATCATCATCGGATGACTCTTCGGATGATTCCGATGATTCTTCCGAACTCGAACTATCTGTAGAGACAACAAGTAATACCTTAAGTTAATCTCAGGTGCATCTCAAAATGCAACAAAAACTGGAAGTTTAACCAACAAATAGAAGAAAAAAGAAAGGTACAAAAGGGCGTACAGAACGTAAATTGTGCCTCAGAACTACACCCACAGGTGGATTGAGAAGAAGGCCAAGGGGGCCACGACCCCACCCCCCACCTTTTGTCTGAGATAGCGTGTTCTGTAAAATCTGTCTTATAAGACCTAACGTTTTTGACACAGATGTTCTTAGGGTTCTTAATCCAATAAATAAAAAGTATCTATACAGCTGCAGCGGGCTTCCCCTTCGTGAGTTTTCTGTATCTGCCCCTATAGACGTAATAGAGGAAACTCAATAAAGGATCTAGCAAAAAACCTGAACAAAAAAGGCTCTCTGAAGCACAGACGCTTGTACTCTCACGCCGTTATCAATTTCCCTTTTGTAAACGGTCATTACCATACACTGATACCAAGCCTTTTGTCATGGTAAGTTGCAGTGACGTTGAGCAAAGTGGAAGCGTATTGATGAGTAACAGAGATATTGGCAAAACAGCTCTAGTTTAATTGTGGATTGTGGAGACTTTTAACAACATTCCCATATTATTCTAACAGCACTTAAATTGGGGTCGACTGCTCACGGACGGCCGGAAGATTTTCCTTTTATACAATAGCAGAAAAAAACAGTTAAAAGGATTTGCTCACTCACACCCACCTTCACTGCTGCTATCATCAGAAGAATCTGAGTCACTGTCACTCGCCGCAGCTCGCTGTTGGGCCATGATCATTTTAGGGGCATTTTTCAAGTGCTCTCTTAGTTCATCCCTGGAACACAACATAAACAATATCACTATGTTACAACATCATACAGAAAACAGCTTTTGTGTTGAGAAAAAAAAATGCAATAATCCATCGCATCAAAAACAACTTAATGGAAAAGCAAATAATATACCTCCCCGAGGGGAGGAGAGGGGAGGGGAAGGGCCTGACACAAAGCCATTGACAGGCTCATGTTTCTTTTATCCATCCCTACCCTCTCCCCCTGAGGGCCTAATACTTAGGCCATCGCCTAATCTCTTGGATTGTTACGCCGCCTTACTACTGACAGGGGAACTGAGGGTGCTTTACATTTGTCAGAACTGACGGCCAGACCATTCTCACCATAATGAGAATTTCACTTTTAATCCAAATTCTCCAGCCAGATCAGTCAAATCCTAAAAAGTGGGGCTATTATCCGGCCGGCCAGTTCTGACAAATGGAAAGCGCCATACGTATCACTATCTATCACTGCCCACAATCCTGAAAGGCCAGACACGACCACTTAAATGACTAAATCATCATCATCATTATTAAGTGATCCGATGCACGGCTGGTTTCAAAACGTATAGGAACTACAATGTAGTAACAGCTCAATACTCACGTGACGCCACCCAGTCCAATGGAAGTGAAGAAATTGATCGAAAAACGCGTGTTACGAGGATTGTCGCGTGGAAAGATTCCTTCAAAATACTCAGCAAGGAATCTGGCAAGACAAGAAAGACATTCGATTGTAGATTGTAGATTAGAAAAATACCAATACCTTGAGCTCCTGGCCAAAAAAAAAAAAGACAGTCGGCGTACCC